ATTTTTATTTTAAGACTTAATATACCAATCGGTTCAGTTTAATCAAACCACAAGAACAAGTACTCACATCGGGCAGAATGTTTCACTTGACTTCGAAATGGCGCCAAAAATTATATAATTATCAAAAAATTATGAAAATTCTATTTGAAAATATCAATAAACACTCTTTCCAACGAAATTGACCTAATCTCAAACGGACTCACGAGACTTCAGTTACACTTGAAACAAGCTGACTAACGCATGACCAAAATCGCCAATGTTTATGGTATCGAAACCAGTAAATCAATACTCTTATAGAACTCTTAGACCTAATTTATCTACTTAGACATAAATATTACCGCTTTAGATTTATAACGCAACTGACGGGGCCTCAAACAAACTTACGATGCTTAAGATATGCCTGAAACAATTCGATCAATACTCTCCTGCGATTTCCTTACGGGAATTTCATTCCTAAACTCATTTTTTTTCAACTTAAACATATCCTAAACATCCCCTAACATGTCAAAATATCTTATTTTGAAAATATCTTATTTTGAAAATATATTATTATAGGTCGCTAACTGTTATTTCACTTTAAACCTATCAACTAACATTTAATTTCACAAAATTCTCATAACTCTTAAAATTCATCAATAAAGTAACTCTCTATTATTATTACTTGTGCCAGACCATCAACAGAGTAATAAACCTTAACACCAAGGTATACCAACACAATTCTAAAATATATTAGAGTTACTCAAGTAGTAACTCTGACAACTCTAAGGTAACAAATCCCTAACACCAAAATAACTTTTTTATGAGTTGCTAACACAATAAGTCAATTCACCACTATAACTAATCACATACTCATCAATATATCATCAAATCAAACAATTTAACAAATACAGTCATGAATTCTATTGATTTCAAGAACACAGCAACAACAACATGTCAATATACGAAATTGCAATTCATATCATGGAATATAAAAATAGAATTATCATTAACTTTCTATTAACATTCATAATAACTCAGAGGAAGAACAAGCCCTATAGGAGATTAGGGCCTCTCCACTCTACCCTTCATTATACCTCTATTATTGAACTAAATTCTCACACTTACCTTAGATTTTCAACAAGCATTATAAACTCTTCAACAATGGTGTTTTTTTTTCTCTCTCTCTAAGCTTTGTCATTCTCAATTGCTCTTGTTGTCTGTTTTCTCCCAAAATACGTATTGTAAACTCTATTCCCTCACAATTATTTAAAATCCTAGTTCCCTCATTAGACTATCCTCATCTTAACCTTAATATTTTTCCATAATGCATACCTTTCCATCACTTACTCATCATAAGTCCAATATTGCGCTTAATTTTTGTACTCACATATTTTCTCTTTAATTTATTTTTTTTGTTTAAATAATATAATTGAATCATTATTTTAATTTATAAAATAAATTCTAAATTATTATATCAATCTCTAATTACCCCCCCACCCCACCCCCCACCCCACCCCACACACACACACTCACATACACACCTACCTTACTATCAGAACACACACCTTTCCTCTCATCCACATTTGTTTAATCTCCCACAAAAATTATAATTAAATAAAAAAAAATCAAATTAATTAATTTACTAAAATGGGGGTGTTACAAAAACAACCCGACAATCATTCATGTGGATACTATGTTATGAGGTATATGCTATATATTGTCTCAACAGGCATTACATATGGATGGATGAAGCATAACGTACTAACTTAGTTCACATTTTCTTAAGTTCATGTTGTTGTTAGCTTATCATAATTTAATTTTTATTCTAATTATAGGAGTTTAACAATCAAAAGCCTTACTCAAAAGAAAATATGGATGGCATCTGATCACGTTGGGCCAGAGTCTTTTTATCTTGTCATGATTCTCTAAACACAATAGTTTTTTCTTGGTTGTAAATGTGTAAATTTCCTTAATTTGTTTTATGCAAATATATAAATGTACGTATTTGGTCTTTATGATCAAAACAATTTAAGTTTATAACCTTTGTTTAAATGATATGATATATTCCAATTTTATCGCATATTTTGTAGTTTGAGTGTAAAAAATGATACAGACATGTGAAACTAAGATTTAAAACAATGTAAATATGGTATTCATTAGTTAATAAATTTATAATGATATGATACAAGTCAGTGAAAATGATACAGGCTAGTGAAAATGATACATGCAAAAAATGAGATTTTATCCCTCGGTTATTACTTAAAACTAAGGTAAATGAATACTTTATTACCTCGGTCTTTAAATACAACCGAGAGCTATATGATGCGCGCAACAAAATTTTAAAAATAAAAAATATGCAATTGATGAGGATCGAACTCATGACCTTTTAATTTCTAACCTCGGTTTTAGAAACACTGAGGTGACAGGTGATTGTTTTTCATGTCGCTCTTCGTTTAGCACGCCTGTGTAGCCGAGGTTAAACTTATTTCGCGACCGACGCTAGATGTGTTATTTGCAGTAGTTTTTTTGACTTGATCCAGTTTTATTTCCCCTTAGTAAATTTACTTAGAGTTTCATGCAAATCTGTGACTTCCTTTTTCAACGAGACATAAATCTCACATGTTCCAGCTAATTTTGTAATATTAGTCATTTCAAACTTAAGTGTTGTAATTGTCAAAAAGTACATGAGTGTGTGGTATCCCTACACTGTATGGGATACTCATAGGCCTTTGTATTTAAGGGTGGTTATGTCTTGTCCACGGCGGTAAGAGACATTATCTGGTGATGTTTACGCTGGTCATAGAAGGCCAACTCACGTGAGGTGAGAGGCTCTGTACTATGTGTGTGTAGTTATGGTATTATGATTTATATATTTTACCATTACGAAGGAGGTATTTATAGAGGCCACTTGAGTCTAGGGTTCAAGAAACCCTAAGAGATGGTAATCTTTCATTCTTAACTATGGGAGATTGTTGACTGCCTACTTTTTAGGGGGTCAGTGTATGACTTAATCCATGTCATTCTTAACTATCGTTATCTATTGCCACTATGTAAATCTAAGGCTGCAAATAATATTTTTGTTGTGCAAAAGAAAGAAATAGCTGGTTATAAAAATCATTTAAGAGACGAGAGATCGGAATGTGGCTCTCGTCAACCAATATCACTCGCAAAGTAGTTTAGTTTATAATTAAATTGGGATGATATTTTCTCATAAGAAAAATGATTAATTTAAAAGAACAGTTTGTTTTCGCATAGTCGGAACCAATTTTTAGCCTAAAATCTATAGTGCCGCTTTCGCGTGTTCAACATATTAAAGTGCAAAAACTCTTTTTTGAAATTAATTGCTTTTAATTATTTGAAAAGGTGCTTAAAGTGGAAAAATTAATTTAAAGATATTAAAGCTCGTTTAATATCGGATTTTAAGCGCATAAACATTCGCTTTTGTGTGTCTGTTTATGTTCTTAAAATCATCTTTTTAAAATTTGGTATTTTTCCTATTTAATTAAAAAGTACTTTCACTGTGTTGATAATTAAAAACTGTTTTTTTAAGTGAGATATAGATTTTATTCTTTCGAATCGGACTCAATATTTGTAAGTGACACACTCATAGTGAACAAATTAGTTTAAAACAAAATCAAATTCGATCCATTAAACAAATTCCATTCAATTATAATTTTTCCGACTTATTTAAAAGTGTCTTGAGCGTCCTCACATTCTAGACTCAATAAAACTAATCATGCATATTAACTACTAAACACAATCAATAATTGAAAATTAATTCTAACATCATTAATATATTTATTATAATAATAATAATAATAATAATAATAATAATAATAATAATAATAATATAAAAAACATACATGCAATTAGTATAACTAGAGTAATAAAAATAGTAAAATTTGAAAATTGGTATAGCAGAAACAATACGTAATAATTATTATAAAAAAAAACAACTCTAGTCATTTAAGTTATTTTATTATAATAAGGTAGTTTTTTATTTTTTTTTCATTATAAATTGATTCTTTATATTAACGTCATTTAAGTTATTTTATTATAATAAGGTAGTTTTTTGTTTTTTTTCATTATAAATTGATTCTTTATATTAACGAACATTTTCATCTTTGATCTTTTTCACAAACTTCATTCTAAAAACGCTTATGTGGCACGAACAACGCTGATATCTCATTTATAGGACTAAATTATAGATAGATCATAATTAATTTAGTTAGATTTGAAAAGATTCAATAGATAAACCCCACTCTAATTATTGACCGGAAAATGTTAATATCATTAGTAGTGTATGATAAGAATATTAACCAAAGCTAAACAATTGAGTAACTAATTAATTATTTAAGCAAACTTCAAGCTTGCTAAAAAGAGAAAGTAAATTCATATATTGCAGTCATCAGTGAGCATGGAAATCCAACTGTGTTGCTTTTGTAACAATTAAAGTGTGTTTAATAATGTACCACTTTGATTAATGATCTATATATAACTTTGAAATACCAACAATCTCATCCTAGTCTTTTAAAATTTATCAGAGAATAAACATCACAATCTCAGCAAACATTACCTATTTACCAAGTTGTATGTGAAATAACAGCCTGGTTATAAAAGATCACTGTCTGAAATATTAATCTAATTAATCCGAATGCGAAATCACAATCTTAGAAAACATTTGCATATTACCAACTTGTCTATGAAAAATTAAACAAATCATTATATATGATTTGACAGAAGAGGTGTCATCATAACAAGCAAAGTTGATAGACACTCGCTATTTCTACATTGCTTCATAGGGAGAGTTACAACAAGAGATAACATCTTGTTCATGACTTTCCATTATGATGAACACATGACTGCTTGAAAATAAAGTTTTACTTTTCTTATCAAAGTACAACACCGCCTTTTCTTTCCCACACAACAAACAGAATCTCACCCAAGAAAACAGGAAGAAACATAAGCAAACCAGAAACAGTTTTCATAAATGTAATTTATACATGGTCTAAAACTCCAAATCAGCCCATGGCATACTTCTGAGTCCAGCTTCGCGCAGTTGCTTCATACTTGGTCCTGTCGGTTTTGTACATGTGAGCAATCTCTGGTACAAGCGGGTCATCAGGATTTGGATCAGTCAGCAATGAGCAGATAGAAAGCAGTACCTGGTATGCCAAGCAAAGCATAATTATACTTATAGAACTTATTTTAAAATTTATCTTGATATATCGGCGCATAGAGGAATGAATTCCACGTTAAATAAATGATGGCAATCAATTGTATAAAGAAGTTTGGAGACTGATGGCAATGTTGGAATAAGAATAAGATTTTCAATTCTTTCACAACGTAGTAAGACAAAATAAAATTACCAATAGCAGAAACACAATTGATGCAAAATTATGCCATATTTGCATGCCTGCTCCAATTAAAAATACTCAACACTGCCATGTAGCATCGGGCACAAAGAAATACAAAACCAGTCTACATAATTAGTTTGACACTTAGGCTGTAGATAGACCAACCAACCACAGCTAAAAATCAATCTTCTTGATATACAGGGGAATGAATGGAAATAGTGAAACCTTGTAAGCCATACCAGTGAAGGAGACAATGGTAGAGGACTAAAGGCTGGGTAGAGCTGTAATTTCCTAACATTGTGAGCAAGGGCGCAGAAGGGGAGGTGGCCAAGTGGTTACTGCCTAGAGAAACAAGAGGTGGAACACCACCATAGCTCTATTTTTAGGGATGTATGCATTTTGGGTTTGAGGGGTGTTTGGAAGAGTTTTTATGAGCTTAACTTATTTAATTAATACTTAAGCATTTGAAAGAGCATCAGAAAATAGCTTATGGCATGCCCCAAGGATGTCAATAGGTGCCAATAGCAGGGAGCAGGAGCTGGTGGCCACAAGTCTCCAGATGTGGAGTTGGATATTAGAGTTGTGACTATAGCAGCGGCAAATCAAGACGAATAAAGGTCTCAATAGTGGCCAACTGGCAATAGCTAACAAGATTGTCAAGATCGAACGTGCGATTAAATCAAAGAAAAACTGAGATTAAATTATATGATTTTCTTCTTCAACCCCCAAAACATAGACTGAAGAAACTGAGATAATAAAATTTTGTGATACTTACATGATCTAAACAGTCAGTTCAGCCAGTCAGAATATAGGATCTATATCCAATCTGAATCAGCCGAGAAACTGTCCTACTCGATAACCATACAAATTAAATCCGTTGAACTAGTAAAAAACGCAGAAAAAAACTGCAGTTTTCTAAGAACAAGAAACTGGCACAAATTCAGAAAATATTGATCATCCAGACTAGCAGATTAAGAAAATAATGTGGAGCGAGACATTGAAATGAAAGACTAGAAGAAACAAAGAACACAACAAAGATGGAAAAAAATGAAAAAGGGAGGTCAGGCATATATAATATTTAAATACAACTTCAGAAGGGAGGAAAATGGTATCTAGCCCAAATGAAGGATGAGTGTGCCACTTCGGTTCAGAAAATGAAGGATGAGTGCAATTTTTCAATCCAAGAAAATGAAGGATGAGTGCAATTTTTCAATCCAAGAAAATGAAGGATGAGTGCAATTTTTCAATCCAAGAAAATGAAGGATGAGAGAAAAATGAGGAGGCTGAGGAGCAGCTCCGTGTTTTCAAACAAAAAAAATTAGGGTGCAAGTGGGCCGAGGCCAAAGATATAAAATCAAATAAAACTACTCCACAATACTTAGCACCTGACATGTTCAAGCTTTGGACAAAAAGTGTATGCATACATAGATGCATACAAGGCAAACCAATGCCTTCGCCGGTTTAATGTCTCGTCTTGTTTTGATTACCTCAGCCCAACCAAAACATATCTATCTTAAATGGAAACATCTAACAATATGGGAAATTAAAAATAATTAGATAACTTATATTAAGTCCAAATCATACCATAATAGTAACATAGTGAGACCAATGAAAAAATATGAATCATAAATCTTTTAGAGTTTCCTCCTTTTGGTATTTTATCCATAAATTATTCTTCCTCTTTAGTCTCAAATGAAGTTAAGAACGTTGATACCTTTTAGTAAATATCCATATCATAATTTAACATGCTATTCAAAAATAAATATCCATACTCAGAAAACGTCAAACTTAAAAGGGAAAGAAAGCCAAAACAAAACCTTAGAGATGGTCAGTGCAGGGCTCCATTGCTCCTTGAGGATATCAAGACAAATACTCCCATTGCTATTAATGTTCGGATGAAAGACCTTAGTCCTGAATGCAACCTGGTATAATAAAATAATCATCATCAACATTTTCAGCATTCAATAAACAAGAACCCAATAGTATCCACATCCATTACCTTAGGAGGCTTGAAAGGATAATCCGGAGGAAAATGAATGGTAACCAAAAAAACACCTCCAGCATAGGGACTATCAGCCGGACCCATAATTGTTGCTTGCCAATGGAACATGTCTTCAGCAACCGGACCTATCAATAATCAAAACCACAAACAAATCCAAACTCAAACATTATTCCCACAGTCACATCAAACAACAACAACAACAAAATCAGAAATTCATTCAAATGAAGAAAAAGCTACCAGCGCTGCAGGACGTAGGTGGATCCTTCTGCAGGTCCTTGAGCTCCTTGAGGATGCGCTTGGAAGCCATGGAAGCGACTTAGGAGTTTCAGATCTGAATGAAAAACGAGATCAGAACGGAACCCTAGAAATGAAAAATGAGAGAAGAGAGATAAAGAACTAATAATGGTTAACCTTAAAGGTGAGGCTATGGGAGGATACGGAATGAGAGATCCAACAAGAACAGACGCAGCGTGAATCCCTCACTCGCCTTCCCAATCCCAACCCCTTCTTTTTTATATTTCACCTTTTCTTCACAATAACTCAACAAAAGCTGCTCGATAATACCCACAAATCAACATTTTCGCATCCATTTATACTCTCTCCAAATTACTATATTGTCCATTTCTTCCTTTTTTATCCATCTTTTGTCCCTTGTGCAAATATGCTATTCTTTTTCCTTCATCATAATCATTATCCATACATGGACCTTCAACTAAAAATTGACAACCCAATTAGGTTAAGTTGTTTTTTTTGGAAAGAGATTAACTATATTAGAATATCTTTTAATTCAAATGTGCATTATATTTTTTAATTTAAAAAGTTGGTTAATCTCAGTTAGTTTAGAGTGATAATGTGTTCGTTGAATTATATAATTTATAATATTGAGATGTAAGATGTGACATGGAGAAATAAGATGAATGTGCAATTAGATAACTCAGTTAATAGTTGTAGATATAGATATATTTTTACATTATACTTTAATTCTTTAGTAAATGTGTTTGATGTTCGAATTTTATATAAAAATATAGTCAAAATTAGATAGATGTCATTTTTAATTAAATTTACCTTAATATAATTTTTTTGACGTATCTTATAGTTGAATATGTTCTATCATTTAAGTTGAATGAGATTGGAGGAATGTGACTCATTTGAACTTAGACCAATTAAAAAATCGAATAATACTAAAGTCATAAAAAAAAAACTTTAGTTGGTTAGAGTAAATAAAACATGTATGTAAATAAATATAAGAGTTCCTTATAGCTTGAGATGTAAAATATTTATTTTTTAATTTTATTTAAATATATTAATCGAATTTGTAAGTTATCGAAATTTTTGTTTTTGTTTAAGTATTTTTTTTTAATGTTAAAATTCATTTGGTATCCGTCCCTAACGTTAAAATCTACATGTAAAAAGGGTTAAAATCTTTTTATACTTGCAGATTTTATTGTGGATTTTAACCTTAAGAAGTTATTCTAAAAAATATATACATAGACGAAAATAAAAAGTTCACAAACTTACTAGGACGATTTACATATTTAAGTCTTTAAGAATTAATACTCAAGAGTTGTTTATTGGGATAAAAAAGATTAAAACCCTAAATTTACAATGAATTTATTATATTTGAAGAATAAAACCAGTTGCTTCTATTGGTTTTGCAGTCATATTTATTAAACTTTCACCATGTGTTCAATGTGTCTCTACAAAATAAAGTTTAGGTATTTTATTGTTTATAAGTCACTAGACATTGCAACAAAACTTATATATGTGGGTACCTGTCTAAATTTGTCTCGTGTTTTACAGAAAAAACTCGTTTTAAATGGGATTGAATTTTCCCCGATTTTAAAAGATGGGGATTGTAACACCTTTGTTTTTAAATTAATTTATTTTATTGAGTTTTATGCGTTCATGTGATTTATTGGAGTGTTATATGTGTTTTGTGGGGTTAACCGATGTGGGATAGAAGTTATATTATTCATCACTATTTTTGTTAATTAAAATAATAGAATAAAGTAGAGAAAATAAGAAATATTGAGATATGAGGTGGAAATAGGATAAAGAAGTAATTGGTGTGGTAAAGAGTAAGAGACAGAAAGGTGGGTGGGGGATTATAAATAGTAAAAGATTAAATTGGATTTTTCATTTAAAAGAAAATTGAAGAGAAAATAGGTTATGCAGTGCATAGAATTTAGAGCAAAATAAGAGTTTGAAAGGAAAGAGCAAAACTTATGATTCCAAGCAAAAACTTCAATTTTATACGCAGAATTCAATTGAGAGAAATTATTCACTATTGGGTGTATATTTCACAAAGGATGGTGAAGAATCCTCACCTTTTTTATTGTTTATTGTGTTTTTCCTCCATTGATGAGTTTATGTATTAAGAGAAGGTTTGTGCATAACCTTTCTTCCAATTATTATGATTGATGTTAATTCGTGTTCTGATTTGCCTCTGAAATTCGTATATGATTTGTATGTAAAAATTTGATTGTTGATTGTTCATGTCGATATGCCTAATACGAGAAACATGTGAATTAGTTTGGTGAAATTTTGTGGAATAAATTATGAATATGTGTATAGATGATGTATTGAACATGGAATAGTTACGTATGATGTTTTTCTATTCAATTTGAGTGGTTGGATGTTAATTGGAAGTTTAAAAGTGCTTTCATGGCGGAAAATGTAGTTTTGCCTTTTGCACAACGGTGACAAATGTCACCTGGGTGACGAGCGACCTGTCGCTACAAACGGGAAAGATGATGGGTGTTAGTGTATTGATGGGGAAACTAACATGGTCTCCAAGACGGGCTTATTGTCCGAGCGTCATAGGGTGACGAGTTTGTGCTGGGGAATGGTGATGGGTGGTTGACTGTTAGCCCTTCGATTAACCGGTTTTGGGTCGCCTATTTGATTTTTCGAGTTGTTTCTGATTCCAGTGACTGTTTATTGTTGGTTGGTTGCATTTGGTGAGTTGCTAAGTTAAGTTGTTATGTTTTAAGAATTGTTTAATTTTGCTCTATTGAGGTATGAGCAAATTGTTTTTGAATGCTTTTATGATTATGTATTGGTGAGAAATAATTACATAACATGTTTATTATGTTGATGTGGTGGCCATATTGGTGATGTATCAAATTCGAAGGGGAATAATTAATGATTATTACATATGCATGTGTTAATGCATTTCATGCATCATGGTGTACACTACTACGAAAAACATATACAACAACGGTTGGAAAAGATATATTATCGCGCTGGAATGACCGTTGTTACATAGCGTGTGGTTGTATATGTGTTACTTACAATCACAGTCCTATGACCGTTGTAGAAAACCTGAAAGCGCGCGACATATTATCATTGTTGCTTTATCTAACCGTTGTAATATATTAAAGGTCTCAGGTTCGATTATCAGCATCGCCTTTTTGATATATATATATATATATATATATATATATATATATATATATATATTATGGACAACATTTACTATACAACCATGGTCATATATAACAACCGTCATTAAATTATATGCTTTTTTAAAAAATATATTTCTGCATTTTGAAATGTTTTCATTTTTTAACCTGTATTATTTGTGACAGAACAGAAAATTTTTATAACCTGAATTAGAACAGAAACAACAATTGAATTAAAACTCACATACGTGTTTATTTCATCAAATCAAAAAATGTTATTTACAACACTCAAACTTAAATGTACGTCACACACACACACACACACACACACACACACACACACACACACACACACACACACACACACACACACACACACACACACACACACACACATATTACAAATTAAGCTCATGTTTGAGGACCCTTAAGCGCATTAAAGATATGCGTCCAATGTTTAAGAATGTCTACAAAGTCTTTGCATGGGAACAGTGTATCGTCATTAAACGTCTACATAAAAAAAGTGCAAAAATGTGAATATCATACATATATGATAATTATAGGCAACTTAAACAATGATATGTTATTGTAAATAATTCATTACATATATAATATATATCTGATCCCATTTATCAACAATGTCGATGAAGACAATGTTTAACATGTGTTTTATTACATAATACTCACACTCGTATCCCTTTGGTTGTTTCCTTGTCTACAAAAATAAACATTAATTTCATGAATGTTATAACCACTACACATGCATGTAACAATATATATAAATGAACGTCACAAGTAATATGGCCACTTACATGACATAAGAGAAATGTTGGTTTTTTTTTTCTACTATTGTTCAACATATTGTGTTGATGCACAATAATGTACTTGAAAATTATTTAAACATATTGCGCGTTAAACCAATTACAAAGTCAAAAAAAAAATAATACTAAAAGGTTTCATATAAACATAAACTTACCCGTTAAAATTTTGCTTCATTTTAGGTTCGAGTGAATCATGTAAGGAACACAATGTTGTTATCGTATTCGTCCTAAGTGGTATGATGATCAATTGTCAATGATCGCTGAATAAACAAAAGCATATATATAATTAGTGTTTTCTAAAACAAAACTAAATATAATAGATAAACCACAATTTTAATATTACTTACGATTTGAGAAATGGTGCTAAGTAACATTTTGTCCCCTTGACTTAACTGTTCTAAAATGTAAAAGTCAATCCCTTTTGGATCATTATTTGTCTATCAAATATTAAATGGATCCAAGATGCCATAAATATTTGATTATTTAACTTTATACGAACACGATGAATGTACCTAAATGGTTAAACAAAATTAAAAGAATAAGTGCGAAAATACAAAAACGATAATGTTCTATATATAATGATATGCATATTCAATTATATACTTACGTGCATCAAACTTGCAATATTCCTACGTCCAACCATTTATATCCTGAAAGAAAATATTGTATGTCACTAGGAGGAGAATAGAATATTTCTACCGTTGGACAATGCTATAGTTGAAGAGGAATCGGGTCATCGCTTTCCACAACCAACATGTATAGCATGGTGATTTTATTTGCAGAAAGATCCAATATCTCATTGACCTCTTGAGCGGGGGCAGCTGAACAATTACTTTGTTTGGTGCTAGTACCATGTACAACAATTGTTTGGGGAACTTGATCATCGATATTATCATCATTTTTATTCATACATTATTATAAGAATCCATCTATTGTCTGCAACATAATATTCGTTTTGAACATAACACATAATAAATACATTTCTATATTTTCTAATTTTTTTAGATAAAACACAATATATCATATATTTCAGATAAAACACTAGCATTTCAGATAAAACACATACCACATATAACTCTTCT